TTCCTCGTAGCTCGTACGGCCAATGTAGTTCCGGTTCTTGAGGTCAGGAAGGCACTTGCGTGATACTGTGCAAATTGAGGTCTGTATTGATATTTAAGCCTATACCTGCCTGGATTTCTACCTTCTATGTCTTTCATCTGCTAAATCCCTTACCAGGCTCGGCTGCATGTCCCTTCTTCCCTTGACCCATCACCCCAGCTGTGTTATCTTCAGATCCACCGGATCCATGACGTAATCATCCTGGTCACCCTATTTTGGGTACACTCATCCGGATCCAGGTCGCTTGGATCCACTTCACTGTAAGTGCACACTCGTCGTGGATCTGAGCTCTCCAATCATCCAACATCATCTCGCAACCGTCTGTGATCTCCATTGTCCCACGAAAGTTCGAGATCCACTGCATCCATCATCCCTATACCCTGGATCCAGGTCCCTCCAGGCGGGATCCTCCCTCCTTGGATCCGAACTCGGAAGTATGGGATCCGGGGTACATCGCGGTGGATCTTGACTCCTCATTAGTCGTGGCTACTAGATCCACCTTCAGAGGGCACCTACCACCATTCCTTCATAGGATCCACACTCGATCCACCCGTACATAGCGTATCCCATATCCACCCAAGTGGATCCAGGTAAGGGTGGATCCGAGATAAGTCTTGGTGGATCTTGCCTTCTCGTACATCGCTCATACCAGATCCATCGTCATTTCATACGGGGTGCTGCTCGCCATGGCTAATCCACCACCGGCAACTTGCATCCGTGCCAGCCAACCCAAATCCTCTCTAATCACTTGAAATTGTCATTGATTCGGGATAGTGACCCCGCGTCAGGCCCATTCTCTTATTTCTGAGAAAGCACTTTACCACAATGGCGAGTGTTTTTTGGTTTCCCGCTTCGGTCGCATGCGAATAGTCGACTTCGAATTTTGCCATTTTGATTTTTCTCTACCTTTTGTTTCGTTACATCATAGCGCCTCGCCAACGTCCACTGATGAATTGCAGCTTCGGCTGCAGCTTCGGAGGGGTGGACAGCTTCAGGGGGCGGGTCGATATTGTAGCCTTGCGGCATCTGTGTCTAGCGTGTGATGTGGTTGGTGTTGAATTTATTATTCTGAACAAGCCGATGGAAGGAGGCTTTATGCATTTGTAGATTAAGTGAAATTCTTCTTTTAAGAATATCCTCTGAAGAAGTAATAAGATCTTGAAGCACATCTTGCAATCTGCATATGGTGCTCCATTTATGTTTGGGCGCTCCTTAATTGGGCGCTCCTTAGCTTCTCCCAGCTCGGCTCACTAGCGAACGGACACGTTGAGCATGTTTTTTGTCTGCGGGGAGAAGGGGCAGCTTCCAGAATGGAAGATAAGCTTATGAAGCTTTTTTCTATAACATCCACTACACTCAGACTAATGAGCGGTATTTTAAATACACGCAACTCGTTTTTCCGTCAACACTAACAAAGCCTGTAAAAAAACATTCATTTAGTGGCTGTACTGACGTGGATTTCGTCCGACATTCGCCAAAATAATCCGCAGAGTACTAAAACAGTGGGAAAAACCGGCTACAGACGCAAGCTTGTGACGTAGTAAAAACTTAGAGTTTCAACAAGATAGGAAGCACTTAGTGCTACTTCGAAGTAGATGGGGAGCCCAACAACTTGTTGGCAGCAAGTATACATACGGTGGCGATACAAGAACCTGTACGTCAGTAGGCGGTATGGACCATACCGGTGCATCCATTCAAATACGATCAGTCACTGATTCAGTGTGAAAAAGAAAATCTTGAGTGATTCAACTTTTCGTGGTACATGGGTAAAATTTTGGATTTTAAACCAATTTGTTGGTTACCGTAGCTTATATTTAAGTTCTTTGCAGATCGAGAACAGCAGTTCCAGAGCAGGAAGTATTTGCTGCTGCGCTGGAACTTACAAGCATCACGCCAATGCCGGGTGCCATTCTCTTTCCGCCTCACGAGGAATTTTAGATAATTTTTTTTGCATAGGAATCACGCAATGCCAACAATACAACCAAATCGGTCGCTCTGGTTTTTGTTTTGTGTCTGGCGGTCGGTGTTGTGCCTTTCTTCGGTTCGGTGATGTTGTTCAAGCGAACGTTTACATCCATCAGCTTGCTCTCGAAAAAGTGATATTTTCTCTAATGGTTTCAAAATGCGACCCTTGATAAAAGACCGTTTAAAATATTTTTTAATCGCTTGGTTTAAAAAACCGACTGATCAATAGTACGGACGAAATAATCGAGATGTGTGGACCACATTTACATCTGTTTTTGCACAGAATCAAGTACAATTTTATAAGTGAAGATGTCCTATATTTTCATCGTTTTGCATACTGATCTACAGTTTATTATTTATTGACAGGTAACCAACTCCCAGATAAAGCACACTAACAGTGATGCTTTAAGTACAGATTTCAAGAGCCTTACTGTACGGCTTACTTTACAGAAACACAAAACTAACCAAATACTACTAGAAAGCCAATTTACTCACCACGACCTTCGTATACAGTAGTGGCAGTGGGTTTAATGGCGACTTGGTCTGCACACCTTGCTTAGATGCCTCCAAATGCTCGTTTCGTCGCGTTTTACCACCGCAATTTTGTTCTCGTTTTTTTTTATTTCCACAAACACGAATTCGTTAGCAGAGCACTTTTCTCCAGTCCACTCCTCTGAAAGACCAAATGGCCAATTTTTCAAAGTTTTTACGAGAAGAAAATATCTTGATTTTACAGGTCTGCGCGCATAGTGGTATCCTGCAAATCATGGCAATTGAAGTGGCTTGTCCAATTAGATGCCTAGAACATTCACTAGTATTATTGGTAAAAAGAAAGCTCCTTTACCAGTGTTTCAGCCAATCACTACATCCGGCAATTCATACATCGCGGGAAATGGCTTCGTCTCCCGCGGACGCCTACGACTCGCAGCTCTGGGCAGTCGTGCGCTGCTTCTCGGATGCGGATCTGCGCCATGTCCAGTCGAGTATCCGGCAGTTCCACTGCGCCGACGAGTCCGCGCTCTACTCGGGATTGGAGTCCCCCAGTAGCGCTTCCAACTTTGCCATCTCATTGCAGCTCGGAGGCGAGACGCAACGTGTGCGTGTGGACGACTTTGTGCACGTTTTCCTGGACTTTCTGCACCGGCAAGTGCAACTTCACGCTGATGCGCGGGTCTCCAGCGATACGGCGACGCAAGACACGAGCTCAGCGAACATGGCTGCTTCTGATAACAACATGGCTACAGTAGCCACTTTCGACGAGGAGTTCCCCCAGTTGACGTCCAGTGCCGCCGCTAAAACTACCAAGCGTAGGATCACCACAACTCTGCTGACACCGAAGAACTCGACGGTGGTGACGCGCCCTGTTCCTGCTGCCATCTCGTTCCCGCCGTTGGGTGCATCTGAGACCACGAGACCCCCAGCTTGGGCCAAACATTCGCTACTGGAGAAGCGCATGGGTGCAGCCGCTGCTCCATCGGCTTGGGGCTCTCAGTCATCGGTGCATGCTACTGCGCCCGTTCCCGCTCCGGTAATAGCAAAGAAGGAATCCACACAGGGGCCTCTCGCAGTAACAAAGATGGCTACATTACGACCGCAGCAGCTTCAAGTGAGGACCAAGTCGCCTTCAAACCAAGTGACACACAAGCAACGGGAAGCGCCGAAGCACAAGAGCAGAGTGCAGCTAACTTCTCCTAGGACGAGAGCCAAGGCTGCTGCGTCTGACTTTCAGGTCAACACGCAAGCAGCCAAGCTGTTGGGCTTCCTCATCCGAGAGCGCTTCGTCAAGTCCACGTGCGCTGAGCTTCAGGTCCTCGTCGGTTTACTGTATCGAGCAGACTGCACGTCCTGCAGCAGCCAAGACAACTCGCTTAAGTCCGAGTTCTGTTGGCGTACTCATTGTCTCGACTTCGCGGAGATTGTGTTCCTCGAGATCGAATCGGTGCTGAAACACTTGGGCGCTGACCTTCTGGGCCTCATTAAGCAGAGCTTACGCGACGCCGAGGGCATCTGTCAGGACCTGCTGGAGCGGCTGGAGCTGGCGTCTCGACGTCGCGAGGAGCTGCGAGTGGCCGAAAGCGCGCGAGTCGGCTGCCAGCTGCCAGTTGAGGTCAAAGCCAGCGCCGTGCGGGACTTTGCGCTGCCCTTCAACGAGGAAACGGACTCGCGCCTGCACTACCGGACGCCGGCCGAGTCGCTGCTGTACACGAATCGAGAGAAGGTCCGCGACGGGTTCCTGAGCTTGTTACGGCAATTCCAGCTCCAGCAGCACAGCTTGGTGGGCATCGAGAACGCCGGCGTGGCCGCAGCAGCCATCGCAGCCGCGCGCGAGCTGCTGACGGACGTGTCGCCCGAGAACAGATGGTGGTTCGCCAAGTTCTTCGTCCAGGAGCTGGTGCAAGTGGGCTCGAACCCGTTCGGAGAGAGCGACAACGACCTCGTGCTGAAGATCATGGAGGACAAACTCGTGGTCAAGAACCCGGACCGACTGCGCAAGCTGCATCGACGCTTTTCGAGTCAGAAACCAGCCACCAAGTCGCCGCAAATCAGCAGCAGCAGCGGCTCGAGGAATCCTGGCAAAGCGAGTGGCAAAGGTAGCAACAGCAACTCTAAAAGTCGCCAGGATGAGAGCGACGCGACGAGGCAGTTCACGGCCACGCTGGAGCAGATGAAGCGCTACTTCACGGACAACCAGCTCTTCTTCTTCCACTTCCTGCACAGCTGCGACAGCTACGAGTTCTCCGAGCTGGTCAAGCACCAGCTCGAGCGTCAGTTCTACGCCATCCGCGAGGCCGACTCGGCGTCGACGGACGCTCGCAAGGACTTCACCGAGGTGGTGCTGAGACTCAAAGTCGTGGCAAAGTTTCTGGGTTACCTCCGCTTCTCGCCGCAGTGGCAAGTGACGTCGTCGATCCGCAAACTTTCCGCTCAAAACGCGGCCATCCAAGCGGTCGAGCGAGAGGGAATCAGCACGCTCCAAGTGGCTCGGAACGCCAGTCTGGACGTCAAGAAGCTGCTGGAAGACAGTATCCGAACTGTAGCCATCTCCAAGTGCCTCCCGTGGCTAAGCGACTATCTGTCCATGCTGTCTCTCGACCGACTGTCGCTCGGTACGACGTACTTCAAGCAGCTTGTGGTGCTGCTGCAGCTCTTGTATCGCTCGCCACGGCTGGATTCTCTGGGCGAGACGGGGCTGTACATGGCCATACAGATCGAGCGGATCTTCCTCGTGCTACGCTTGGAAGATGGCTTCATTCGAGGCAGCGCCTACCAGTCTCGAGACCTGCTGCCGTCGCCAGAGATCCGCGACGCTCTCGCACGTGACGACGAAGCGTTGGACGCGGGGGAAGACCGTCTGCCGTTCCTGTACAGTCAAGTGTTTGTCCAGAGCTGCGTCAGTGAGTTGGAGGATCTACGAGGCTTCCTGCAGACTCGAGCACAGCCGACTCGACGCCGGAAACTTTCGATTGGCTCTGGGTCGACGACGGCGGGTCAGCCGGCCACTCCGATCCGCAAACTGCGTCCTCTCCAGGTCGTAATTGAGGACGACTCGGGCGCGCAGACGGCGTCCTCGTTCGCTCTCCAGCACGGCGACAGAGCTGTCAAGCTGCCTTTGTCCTCTTCCCCACCTGTGCAGGACGAGAGCGACCACCTGGCCGACGCCGTGTTCAAGGTGCATCCAAAGCTGAAGGCGACCGTGGAGTTTGTGGTGGGGAACGTGACGACCGACGTCTGTGAGCACGTGGTGACGCGTGTCGTCACGTCTCGAGCGGATGTGCTCGTTGACAGGTGCGCGTCGGAGAGCGGTTTACTTGCGGGCAGAGCAAATCCCACGTCGGCGTCGACGGAAGACGCGGCGTTCGCTGCCAGAGCCTCGTTCCAGATGCTCATCACGTCCCAGACTCGTCACGAGGCCAACGCTGCTGTCGTGGCCGCTCTGGACGAAGCTCTGCGTCTAGCAGAAGAGCGAGTGAGTGCGGCTGTGCCCCCGCTCATGCCTCCCTGGTCGCATCCGACGCTGATCCACTCGGTCGTGTTCGTGGCACGGCAACGCACTCGAGCAGCGCTGAAAACGCTCGTACCCAGGAGCGCCCAGACCGCGTTCGTCAAGCGCGTGGCGTTCCGCAACAAGACCCTACTGAAGGATCTGGGGCGCGGCATCCAAGACGACAGCGCTGTCTTCCACGCCCCCGTCCGAAGCAGGCCACGTCCGAGAGCTGAGGAGACTCAGTGCGCAAGTGTCGACAAGTGCAGGTCACCAAAGCATCACCAGTCTTGCGGACTGGGAGGCCAGACCTCGAGACTTTTGCAGTGCGTGGCGCAGTTCACCAGCTCGTTCAAGGACGGCGTGGCCGCTGGCGTCTTGGTCGCGTCTCCGGTAGCGCTGGTGCTCTGGGATGTCGTCTGGCGAGCGGTCACGTCCTGCGTAAAGTTTCTGGGTGCGTCGTTGGATGTTTTCGCTGCGTGTGAGCTGCTCTCGATGCGAGAGGACCGTGTGGAAGCAGTAGAAAGGACGCACGTGGAGCTTGTGGCCGCGCTCTCAACGCTGCTCGAGGTGGTCGTGTGCTCCGTCCCTGTCGATGACGACGTCGCCGCTTCTTGCTTGCAGTGTACGATTACTGCTGTGATGGAGCTCATGTCTAAACGACTCGCTGCAGGATCCAAGGGAGACGTCCTCGTGGAGCGATTCGCAGTGAGAACAAGCTCAGTTCTTGCTGCCAAACTCCGAGCGATCGTGCCAAAGAGCGTCGAGCTGGACTGGAACCGATGGACCGACGCAACAGCGCTCAAAAGTGAAGGTCGAGGTGGATGGGACGCTGCCACAAAGGCACCGACCGCAGCAGTGTAGAAGTATTATGTATTTTCAAGTAATAGATTCATGTACTTACAAGAATTTTGAAAGTTTAACGTCCTGTGTGGCCTATTTGACGTCTCTGATAAATTGTTTGTAGAACGAGTGGTAGTGGTTCAGGATCGTCTGGTAGGGCTCCGGAATCGTCTTGAGCTTGGGGTCTAGCTTGAACACGTGGGTGTAAATATTGTTGGGGTTCCCTCTCTTTCTCATCCACAGCGCGAACTGCTGCAGCTGTAGCGCCGTGGCCATTTTCTCTGTCTCCGGAACCGTCCTCGCCGTGTTGATGATCTTTGCGAGAGCCGCATCCCCATACGCTGCCGTGAAGGTGTCGATCGTCGTCGTCTCTCTTCCGGTCCCACGGCTCCAGTAGTTAAACGATTTCAGGTAAGAATTCCACACGTCAAGCGCCGGACTTGCGAGAGGATTACTGGCGACCTTGTCAAGGTTCAGCAGCTTGAATACGTCGAGTGGCGTTCGTTTCTCGCCCCACCAGCGATTTCTCTGGTCACGCAGCAAATTTCTCGCCGCCTCTTTCGTAGTTGAAACCTTCGTCGCTTGTTGAAGCATCTTCGCCAGAGCGTCATCACCTCCGTACGCAGCTCGGAACGTCTCCAGCTCGGTGATCTTCTAGCCACTTTCACGGTTCACGTAGTTGAAAAGGTTCAAGTACGACTCCCAAGCGTCGAGAGCTGCGTTGTCGAGAGGATTGGTGGCGACGTCGTCAAGTTTCAACAGCTTGAACACGTCGAGCGGGGGGCGTTTATCGGTCAGCCACAGGACCCTCAGGTCACCCAGAAGCTTCTCCGCATTGACTTTCGTAGCCGAAACCTTCGTCGCTTGTTGAAGCATCTTCGCCAGAGCGTCATCACCTCCGTACGCAGCTCGGAACGTCTCCAGCTCGGTGATCTTCTAGCCACTTTCACGGTTCACGTAGTTGAAAAGGTTCAAGTACGACTCCCAAGCGTCGAGAGCTGCGTTGTCGAGAGGATTGGTGGCGACGTCGTCAAGTTTCAGCAGCTTGAACACGTCGAGTGGGGAGCGTTTATCGGTCAGCCACAGGACCCTCAGGTCACCCAGTAGCTTCTCCGCCGTGACTTTTGTAGCCGAAACCTTCGTCGCTCGTTGAAGCACCGCGGCCGCAACGTCGTCTCCGTACGTCGCTGTGACCGACTTAATCACTGTTGCTCCATTGCCAGGGTTTTGCACATTGTAGTCGTCTATGAACCCCATGAACGTGCGAAAATTCGGGTTGGAGAGAAGCTTTTCCATCCCGTCGTCCAACTTTAGGAGCTTGAAAGCTTCACCAGCGGTTTGCCTGCCCCCTATTAGCTGCGAAATCTTCACAGTGTCCATTCTCTCTTCTTCTTCGTGTTTATCCCCTTGATCATGAGATGTCAGTAGCCTTGCGTCAATCTCTTGTTTGTCAGACTGTGGACGAGCGAAATTCGAGAGATCTACTGAGACTCTCTTTGAGTCCGAGGCAGTAGCGACGGTTTCTAGTACTAAGACGACAGCAAACAGCAGAACGAGAACCCGACCTCGCAAGGTCTGGCTGACCGTGATTGTCATCATTACTTTAAGAAAGAAAAATGATCAAGTGGCTCACTTCCACTTTGCCGCCTTATGAACCGTATGCTAATCATCGGAAGTTCTACACGTATTAATACATCTTGTACAGTACTGCACCCCGTTTCTGCGCTCTTGGACCTTTGATAAACTTCCGGATGTGATGATCCTAAATCCAAATGAGCCGTAATTTGTAAGCTAAAATCTAGTTTATTTGCAAATCCTATATGGTCCACCCCCGGTGCAGTACTGTACATGTACTACAGTATAGTACTACCGGTAATACTGTATTAATACATGTACTGTACATGTCCATTGTACAGATGAACCCTTCGGTAGTATCCCTTTTCATGGAATACCAATGAAATATCCGCTCCCGAAGTCTTACCGTAATCGATTTTTGGTCAAAGTCAAGTCGAATAAAATCCTCATCAAGGTTTTTTTCAAAGAACCCTTTTGATGACATCCGTCCTAAACAGGCTGAAGATCGTTTCTTAGAGATCTGTCCCTGGAGGATGTGCCACCGATAAAAATGGGAACGTCGCACTGGACTCGCTTTTTACGGTAGTTTACAGGACCAAGATTAAAATTACCTACCGGTACATGTATCACCCCTCCCTCGGAATATGGAAAACAAATTTACGAAAAAAAGACTGTTCTGAGGTGTTTAATATAGGAAAGTCACTATCGTGCAGCACGTCCAAAGTAGGCAAGCAAGGACACTTGCTGCTTGCACCCTTCCTTCCTGCTTAGCTCGTCTCGCAGCTCTCCCTGCATCGCTCTAAGCCCCTGTACACTACTACTGTATCCGACACACCCATTGAGTCTGCTTGAATAAGCAGCTTAGCAATTCACGTGAGGTGTTCCTTAATATCCGCGGAATCGAGCTCTACATCATCATTATCCTTCGCATCCAGTATCTTCACAGGCACCAATTAATGAGCATTATGCGAGCTGACTTAGGCTCAATTGGCATTTCGGGAGCACTAGCTTGGAAAATTGAAGAATGAGAGGGACTCCAGGAGGACCGCAAACGCAAGGAATGAATTTGACGCTAGAGTTCGGTTGGCTATTGTCATGTACCGTTTCGCCTTGCCACAACAAAAATACCCTTAGCTAGGCATAAAATGTTGGTTCCCGACGATATGACTACCGAAGGGCTCATTTGTAAACATTATTGTGCAGAGTTCCTGAAAAAGTTCTCTAAAAAAATCAGAATACTCAAAGTTCTGGTCACTTACATAATCAGTGAATTGCAAGACAATAACGTGCATTTCTCTCAAATGACGATTTCTTAAGAACCGTACATAGACGAATAAACTAGTTCTATTGGATAAAAGTTTTGGATGTATTTCGTGTTGGGCTCATAAAATATGCCCAACAGCCTCTTTGAGAAATGTTCTCTCCACCATTGACATTTTTAGTTATTTATTTATTCATAATCTTGACGTTTATTTTATGTGCCTGCAGATTGGTCGCTAATGCATCAGTTTTAAGATAAATGTCGCTCTCGTTGTACCCAAACTGTAGTGTATGTCCAGTTGTCTGATCTATCCGCCCTTAAAATTGGGTGTTTATCGCTAATATTGACGGAACTGCGACAAAAAAACAAACGGCCCTCATGCCCTGGGCCAAGTACGGGAGCGGCTCCGAGTGAGAGTAAATAAAACGTTTTGATTGAATATCCTTAATTGGCACATGGTACCATTTTCACCTGTCAGATCTCCCAGACTTCCGTTTCAGAACAGCCGTTCTTAGTTCTGGAACCTATTCCCAACTGACCAATCACATTGTGATTTCCAACAGTATGAGTATGCGGTAGTCTTCTTGCATGCCGTCGTGTAAAGCTATCATTGAGGCCCACGGGTGTGCGGGTCAAACTGAGCCCAGCGTCGGCGGTAATTAGGACCCAGGAGGGAGCAGATCAAGCTGTGAGCTTCCCACACACGCATGATGCCAATAAACTGTGGTTTAAGCCACATCATGCTCCATGTGGTTTCAAAGTAAGGAACATCGTGCTCCATCAGATCGTGTGACGGTGCACGAGCACGTCTGCGGCAGGGAAAGATGGGGCATCTCTCAGATGGTTGGGGGGGGGGGCTTTAGCACCCAGCGGGACCGTACCTGTGCTATCGGCGATCAGATCCATCGAAAGCTTCCCTTCTGGGCGCTTTGGGAGCGAGTGTCCGCTCCTATTAATATCTAGACTAGCCGAGCGTCGCCGCTACGCGGCGGGTAAGAGTGAATGTCGCTCCTTGTGTTTTGCCTCCGTTCCGCTCGCCACGGGCTCGCTTCACTACTCGCATGGTAGGTTGGCACATTGTGGCTGAGGCGGGTCCATAGGCCCGCAGGGTTGCACAAGGTGCCGCCTCGCTGCGCTCGGCAGCCTTTAGGCCAATCGGGGCCACCTTCGCTGCGCTCGGCAGCCAGTAGAAATATATGAATTATTTTATCCAATGATTTGTCCGGAAAAGCGTGACAGGCACGACAATTTAGTGTGACGGACAGACAGGTTGCTGCAATAGGTGTTTAAGTCTAGCGCTCTGGGCGCCCGCTCCGCGGACGCTAGGGCATGGTTGGTTGGTGTAGTGTGGGCTGTCCGCCTCCGCTGAGCTGCGGCGGATTAGAGATCATTTCGAAATCAAAGCTACATGAATTAAATGCATTACGTGGCCTACCAAATATTGTTGGTGTGTACGCTCTCGTCCTCATCGATGGCCTCTGGATCCACAGCAATCTTGATCGCCTTCCTTGAAGTCACTCTCGACAACGCCACATAAAGCTGCCCATGTGCGAAGACCGGTGATTCCAAGTAGATACCCACGTGGTGGATTGATTGTCCTTGGGCCTTGTTGATAGTCATGGCGAACGCTGGAACCACGGGGAACTGCTTACGCTTGAGTTTGAACGGGAGCTCCTTGTCATCGTCCTCACTATAAAAGACGATCCGAGGAATGAACACCTTCTTACCCTTGAGCGGCCTGGACATAATGCTGGCCTCGATGCTTCTCGCGCGCAGTGACACAACCCGAAGCCGCGTTCCGTTGCAAAGTCCTGCGTCGCTATTCAGGTTTCTAATCATGATGATAGGTGTTCCAACCTTCAGAACAATCCTGTGCGGAGGGATACCGGAGAAGTTAAGAGAGTTCAAAAACTCCTGCTCAAACATATTTGCATCCGCGACCCCTTCGAGGCTGACCACCGAGAGTCGTTTCACCCGATAGCCGTTCCGCAACCATGTCGTTGATACGCCGAACCCTTGCATTTGTGGGGGCTAGTATGGCTCGCTCAGCGAAGTATTCCTCGGGTAAATTCTCAGTATCAACGCCCGGGTCACCGCATCTATGAGTGCGTTGACGTTGCGGACTCATCGGTCTTCTTCAACTTCGTCCAAGTCTTGCTCGTGTTCCTCGTCCGCTGGAGGGAGTAACCTGAAACTTGGGGGAGGCTCCATATCCGCGTCTTCTTCATCAGAGGTAATTTGTTGTGCACGTCGTTCTGGAATGATACACATGTCGCGTGGGTGCATATATCGCCATCACCGATCTCATGGTTGACTGGGTAACGGCCTTCTCCAATTTGAAGTAAGAATTCAGAGAATTTCGCTAACTCAGCCGCACTGGCCGCGTCTGGGGCGGTGCGGACACGCATGTTCTCGGTAGCCGCACTTGACGCAAATGCTCCCATAGGCATCGCGGTTGCATCGAGTGGGATTGCAGCTACTTTGTTAACTGGAGGTCATACCGCGCATTCGATGCTCCGGATTCCCCTCAAACTAACAGAGACGTCGACGTGCAGCCTTTTATGGCAGAGCCGAAAAGGCGAATTGATAAGTAGCGCGAGATTGATCATTTGGGACGCAGCGCCGATGATGAACCGAGCTTGCTTTGAGGCTGTTGACAGGTCGCTTCAGGGTATTATGAAGAACGAGCTGGAGCCGTGCGGCGGAAAGGTAATGGTGTTCAGCGGTGATCATCGCCAGATTCTACCTGTACTGAAGGATGCTACGCGTGCGGAGACGATTCAAGCTTGCTTCAAGTATTCGCCGCAGCATTACGTTGCATCCGAACGTGAGCGAGTATTTGCTCGAGTAGAAACGACTTTCCTGTTCCACCTGGACCATCCAAGAAGAAAAGCTTCTCTCCTCCAACCGGTCTGCTCACAGCAGCAATAACTTGGTCAAAAATACCCCTCTGGTTGCTGTTCAAGTGGTCTGCCTGCTCCGCAACATGCTCCAGCTCGTTTTGGGGGTACGCGTCAAGCTCTTGCTGGACAACATCAACAGACGCTGTATCCGGGTCGTCCACTTGAGCAGATACATCGCCGTAATCGGCTAGCAGAGGAAGGCCGTACATGTCGAGGGACTTTTGGTTCAAAACCCAATGTAATCAGCCAAATTTTTCAACGCCTTGTACTCCGCCATTCGAGGACGCACCTCCTCTTCGCGTACATTATGCAGGTCTGCGTCTCTTTCCTCAATGCTTCGTGCATTACCCTCTGACATATCCTTCTTGAACCTGTCCCATAGATCTTTGGCATTGCCAGGCATTGAGTAAACCAAAATGATGCCGAAGCGTTGGCGTAGCTGGTACGGCATCTTTACCTCGGCGGCTTCGCGTAAGCAATGTATCCACTCGTCGTCATTTTCCAAATACCCAAGCGCCAAAGCGGCTTGCTGATATGTAGGATGTTCCGTACCATCAACCGTTCGAAGATCCGCAAAGGACTTAGGCGAGCGTCGGTTACACAGGAGAAGTCGCAAGTTGAAGCGTACCAGGTACGTGTACCAAGCGTCCCAGAGAAGCAACGTACTTCCTATACGGTTCCCACGTCTTGTGTTCCGTCCACATGTACTTCCGTGGTACATCCTTGTACAGAAGATGTGCCGTAGCTTTTGGGTTACGCGCGCACAGCTTGAAAAACTCCGTCACCATTGATCGGTCCACGCGGTTAATCAAGTTGTGAAGCTGGGGGGTCGTCGCTTGGTCGCGATAAGCAACCATGCT